AGGAGGAGGAGGAGGAGGGAGAGGAGGAGGAGAGAGAGGAAGAGGGAGGAGGAGGGAGAGGAGGAGAGAGAGGGAGAGGAGGAGGAGAGAGAGGAAGAGGGAGGAGGAGGAGGAGGAGAGGGAGAGAGGGGGAGAGGAGGAGGAGGAGGAGGAGAGAGAGGGAGAGGAGGGAGAGAGAGGGAGAGGAGGAGGAAGAGGAGAGGGAGGAGAGGAGGAGGAGGAGGAGAGAGAGGGAGAGGAGGAGGAAGAGGAGGAGGGAGAGAGGAGAGGGAGGAGGAGGAAGAGGAGGGAGAGGAGGAGGAGAGGAGAGGGAGGAGGAGGAGGAGGAGGAGAGGAGAGGGAGGAGGAGGAGGAGGAGGAGGAGGAGGAGGAGGAGGGAGAGGAGGAGGCAGAGGAGGGAGAGGAGGAGGAGGAGGAGGGAGAGGAGGAGGAGAGAGAGGAAGAGGGAGGAGGAGGAGGAGGGAGAGGAGGAGAGAGAGGGAGAGGAGGAGAGAGAGGAGGAGGAGGAGGAGGGAGAGGAGGAGGAGGAGGAGGGAGAGGAGGGAGAGGAGGAGGCAGAGGAGGGAGAGGAGGAGGAGGAGGAGGGAGAGGAGGAGAGAGAGGGAGAGGAGGAGGAGGAGGGAGAGGAGGAGAGAGAGGGAGAGGAGGAGGAGGAGGAGGAGGGAGAGGAGGAGGAGGAGAGAGAGGAGAGGGAGGAGGAGAGGGAGAGGAGAAGGAGGGAGAGGAGGAGGAGGAGAGAAGGAGGAGGAGGAGAGAGAGGAGAGGGAGAGGTGAAGGAGGGAGAGGAGGAGGAGAGAGAGGGAGAGGAGGAGAGAGAGGGAGAGGAGGAGGAGGAGGAGAGGAGGAGGAGAGAGAGGGAGAGGAGGAGGAGGAGGAGGCAGAGGAGGGAGAGGAGGAGGGAGAGGAGGAGGAGGAGGACCTGCAGGTTTAAACACTTCAGTTTGATCAACAGCTGGTTTCTGTAAAGCTTGAGCATCATGTGACCGCCCCCCCCCCACGCTTTTATCCTTCCTTTCCTTCCCTCCTTTCTTCTCCTTCCCTTCTATCTTCTCTCCCTACCTTTCCTTCCCTCCCTCACTCCTTCCTCTCCTCCTCTCTTTGCCTCCAGAGGAGAAAGTATCTCAGCCCCGCCCACACAGTTTGATGGACAGGTGACCTCTGGCAGAGTGTGTGTCACCTGGTTTTCATTTCCTCCTCCCTGCAGCGTTGGGTGGAAACTCTGATTGACAGGCTGTTAGTGATGAGACACTTCCTGTTTGGTAACAATTAGCATCCCGCCCCCTCAGTTCCCATCAGCCCACGGTGAGTGTGTTAATCCACGTGTGCGAGCCTCTAATCTCTGTAATCCACATCAGCCAGCTTCATGCTAACACGTAGCATGTGAGGCGTCAGATGACCGACCTCCTTCACTGTGTTTCGGTCAGGAGGAGACAGAGAAGAAGAAGAAGCAGCGGGAGGGAACTTCAGGACTCACCTGCAGCTAAACCTAAAGTTCAAAACCATCTGAAGCTGCAGCTGCTTTCTGACGCGATATAGTACAAGAACTGCAAGTACATCAATAAAGTACTGTGCTCAAGTACAACTCTGAGGTACTTTTACTGTAGACGCCTCAGTTACCTCACAAGTTTAGATTTTTACACTAATCACATGAAGAGTTTAGAAAACTGGTTATAAATTAAACTCCCCACAGTTTACTTTTTAACTTGTGTTTGTATTTTTGTGCCGTATTAGTACTTTTACTGCAGTAAAGGAGAACTCCCTGCCTCAGACGGCCTCCTGCCGACTCCGTACAAATGTTTCATCGGATCAGAGTTTACGGCTCCGACCGGTTCGGCTCCCGGGCGCCGCGAGGCCGAGGGAGTTTGTTTAAGTCCGACCTCGGCGTGTGATTTACCTCCTGCAGGAACGTAAATCCACTTTCTGCATTCCTCTTCTTTATAAACAGACGTGTTTCCCTTTAAAGTTTTCAACATCAGGACATAAATCTGACCTCCAGACTGGGAGCGCCGCTCTGAACTGGTTTCCAGTACCCTGCAGCGCAGACCGAGGGACTGCAGAGGGACCGGATCTCGTCCCATGAGGGATTCAGCAGTAATGAAATCAATCATGAGTGAGACGCGTGACCTTTCAGAGGAAATTAGATCATCTTCTTCTGCTGTTGCTCTTCGTGTAGCTGCACAGACACAGGAAGCTAAAACAGGAAGTTTTTTATTGGGAGGAGATGTGAAACTGTAAAAGAATGAATGATTCCAGGAACAAAACAGATCATTATAAACTGAACTGTCCTCTCGCACGGTGCTTCATTCTTCACAGAGACTAAAGCCGCGTTTTGACCAAAAGTACCGGGACGTTTAAGTATTTTTCAGCGGCGCTGGTTAAATGTACGCAGAGCGGCGGATACGAGTCGCCTCTATCCTGATTGACAGGTTGTCAATTAGCTTGTAGCCCCGCCCTAAAGCCTCCCCTGCTTCCTGGTCTCTGTTCCTCTAAATGGGACCATAATTTACTAAATGAACATCATGCTGTGTTGAAGAAGACTTGAAACTAGCGACTGAGACCAGAAACTCATCAGGAAAGTGTTTACTGAGGGAATAAATCAGCTGACAAGTAGAAACATTTTCTCAGAGACTTCTATAGAGTCGCCCCCTGCTGGCTGCTGGAGAGGACGCAGGTTTAAGTCGCCCCCTGCTGGCTGCTGGAGAGGACGCAGGTTTAAGTCGCCCCCTGCTGGCTGCTAGAGAGGAAGCAGGTTTAAGTCGCCCCCTGCTGGCTGCTGGAGAGGACGCAGGTTTAAGTCGCCCCCTGCTGGCTGCTGGAGAGGACGCAGGTTTAAGTCGCCCCCTGCTGGCTGCTGGAGAGGACGCAGGTTTAAGTCGCCCCCTGCTGGCTGCTAGAGAGGAAGCAGGTTTAAGTCGCCCCCTGCTGGCTGTTAGAGAGGACGCAGGTTTAAGTCGCCCCCTGCTGGCTGTTTGAGAGGAAGCAGGTTTAAGTCGCCCCCTGCTGGCAGCTGGAGAGGACGCAGGTTTAAGTCGCCCCCTGCTGGCTGCTGGAGAGGACGCAGGTTTAAGTCGCCCCCTGCTGGCTGCTAGAGAGGAAGCAGGTTTAAGTCGCCCCCTGCTGGCTGTTAGAGAGGAAGCAGGTTTAAGTCGCCCCCTGCTGGCAGCTGGAGAGGACGCAGGTTTAAGTCGCCCCCTGCTGGCTGTTAGAGAGGAAGCAGGTTTAAGTCGCCCCCTGCTGGCAGCTGGAGAGGACGCAGGTTTAAGTCGCCCCCTGCTGGCTGCTGGAGAGGACGCAGGTTTAAGTCGCCCCCTGCTGGCTGTTAGAGAGGACGCAGGTTTAAGTCGCCCCCTGCTGGCTGCTGGAGAGGACGCAGGTTTAAGTCGCCCCCTGCTGGCTGCTGGAAAGGACACAGGTTTAAGTCGCCCCCTGCTGGCTGCTGGAGAGGACGCAGGTTTAAGTCGCCCCCTGCTGGCCGTTAGAGAGGACGCAGGTTTAAGTCGCCCCCTACTGGCTGCTGGAGAGGACGCAGGTTTAAGTCGCCCCCTGCTGGCTGCTGGAGAGGACGCAGGTTTAAGTCGCCCCCTGCTGGCTGCTGGAGAGGACGCAGGTTTAAGTCGCCCCCTGCTGGCTGCTGGAGAGGACGCAGGTTTAAGTCGCCCCCTGCTGGCTGCTGGAGAGGACGCAGGTTTAAGTCGCCCCCTGCTGGCTGCTGGAGAGGACGCAGGTTTAAGTCGCTTCAGCTCTCGGAGCCGGAGCCCCCTGCTTGGTTTGGAGCAACCTTCAGACGGAACCTGATTGTTTCTCGGTGCTGGAACAGGACGAGATAAACTCCTCGCTCGTTTTCTGTCTGTCAGCAGGTTCCCGTTGGACTCGTGGGAAAAAGTCTTGTCCTTGTTAATAAACAGAGAGCTTATCGCCGTGTTCCCGGCTCAGTGACCCTGCTGCTTTATTCATCGTTCTAAACATCAGGAAACAGTCAAAATATCCAAAGTGACGACAGACATTCAGTTCGCTGTGAAATAAAACCAGTGCTGCATCTGTAACTTCAGTAAAAGTGGTCCTACAGTAACATTAAAATCTTTACTGTTATCATCAAAATATACTTAAAGCACCACCTTAATGTTGCAGGTGGAGCTCGTTACTTCATGTTCTGCTGGTAGTTTATTCTATAAAGTCTTGTATGTTCTTTTTCAACAAATTGATTAATCAGCTAATTATTTCAGCTCCTACGTTCTAAACTTTACCAAAAGTAAAAGTACTGATCGTCCAGATATGACCTGATTATTAATTCTGATGTCGAAGCTGTGAGTTTGAGGAGCAGCTGCAGGCCATGTGTTGGTCTTTACCGTACCGTCCGCTGTAGGAGAGCAGCTGGATTTGACTTCTCCCTTCAAACAACAACTCTTCAACGTGCTGCGAACACACCCAGACACCCACCAGCCTGAACGCACCCTGTTTCTACTGGAGGCAGATCAAGAAAATACTCATGAGACACACCTGCAACGTTTTATTAACCCTTTCACTGTCGGGTTTCTGGCTGTTCGAAACTTTCATCACTAAGCGAACATGTCTTATAATAATACAATAACAAACTTTAGTGAAGGAGACGCAGAGAGAAAGATCAAACAAGGGAAGAAAGAAGAAAAGCATTAAGATGAACAGGTGGAAATGTGTTGCTCTGACTCTGACAGCCTGATCTCCTCAGGCAGGTCCTGACAGCAAAGCTCTGTCCCCCTTTAGCCTCCAGCCTGGACTCTGGGGGAGACAGGAGACCTGCCTTGAGATCTGAAACACCAGAGCTGAAGTTATCTGGCTGACACGTTAACAACCAAAGTTTATAATAAAGGAGCCCCAGATGTTTAGTTTCTGTGCAGGACGGGGTTAGCATAGCTTAGCACAAAGACTGGAAGCAGGGGGAAACTGTTAGCCTCACCGCCGTCTTCTCAGTGACAGAACGTGGGTTGAACTGTGTTTGGTGTTTTTGATGTTCATGTTGCTGCGTTGTGTTTTCAGTGTCTGATGCTCAGTATTACGACTTCACGCCGCCTCCAGACTACGACTCGGACTACAACGCCACCTTCGACTACAGCTTTTTCAGTAAGTCCCACTCTGTAGACCTTCACAGGCCAGTGTCAGACTGCGATCAGGCTTAAAGGTTTCACAGGATCTGTTGTGGTGGTGCGTTCAGGTAACGCCAGCAGCGAGGACCTGGACCAGTTCAGTAAACCGTTCATTGACCCGGAGGAGGAGGAAGAGGAAGTGACTGTTACTATCCAAAGAGCCACAGAGCAGGACACGACCGATGTTCACGGCAACGCCGCACCACTTCCTGTTTCTCTGGTAAGAACGAGAGATTTACTGAACATAACTGGTTAACGTCGGCCGTTACACTGATGGATTACCTTCAACCGGTTAAACCAGGTTTAAGTTAAACCAGTTAAACCAGGTTTAGCTTAAACCAGTTAAACCAGGTTTAGCTTAAACCAGGTTTAAGTTAAACCAGTTAAACCAGGTTTAAGTTAAACCAGTTAAACCAGGTTTAAGTTAAACCAGTTAAACCAGGTTTAGCTTAAACCAGGTTTAAGTTAAACCAGTTAAACCAGGTTTAAGTTAAACCAGTTAAACCAGGTTTAAGTTAAACCAGTTAAACCAGGTTTAGCTTAAACCAGGTTTAAGTTAAACCAGTTAAACCAGGTTTAGCTGTACTGTACTTCACCTGGGTCTGTGTGACCCAGTACAAAATGTTTTAATAAAACACCAAAACTGAGCAGCATTGTGTTTCTGCTTTGCATGACTGATCAGAGCCAATCAGAGAGCAAAACCTGAGCGCCTGCATCATTGTTTTCACCTGTCCGCACTAACACGCCACCTCGGAGTTTAAAACCAAAACGGGTTAGTTGCGTTTTCACACTTCAACGTTTCAGATGTTCAGATTCAACGTTTTAATCTGGACGCAGCAGAAGGTTTTGTAACGTAGGCGTGAGGATGAAGAAGATCAGTTCTGTCCTGCTGATATTTTTACAGCGAGAACTGCTGATTCGACACAGCTGAGTGCGAGTCCATCTGCTTCCTATCAATGTGCAGCAGAGCACCAACCAACACCGACACAGAAACAGGACAACAGGCTGATCTGGGCTCTGTGGTCTGGTGGTTTCAGACCGTCTGTGTTTGTGTTTGCTGACTCCAGATAAAAGAGTCTCTGTGTTCAGTAAGTCGACAGCGAATCACACAACAAATGTTTCCAGAGAAGAACCCAGGTCTCCGACTGACAGCCTCCAAAAGCCTCTTTGTTTTAAAACCTCAGGAACTCTGAAGATGCCGTGAAGAAAGTCAGACGGTCTGCTCTTTATGTTTTAGCTAAAGTTAAACCGACCTCCACAGAGAAGAAGATAAATACGTATATATACTGTGTAGGTCGTCGCTGAGCTCATGTACAACATGTTTCCCGGGCGGATTTTAGAGGATTTATTATTATTTATTTTATACATACGAGGAATTTGCTTTGGTGCTAAACATAAACCTTCAGTTAACTCAAATAAACATATAAAGTAAAAATCTATAAATATGGAATAAACAGATTATAGTAATAAAAGCATAATAGAATTTATTATAATATTTACATGTGCAGGATGGAAGGATTTATTTTCATTTATATAAACATAAAATATAAAACCTATAAAAGAAAACACGGCAGTTTGTGAAGTGATCAAACATTTACAGGACGTGTTGTAAAAGAGGCTGACGGGGGATTTGTTGATGAGGCTGCAGACGGGAAGAGGTTCTGGTTCTGATGGACCGCAGCCTCCTGCTGGAGGGTCTTTGTCACCTACTGGCCTCAGAGTCCTGCAGGACCTGAAGGGACCTGTTTTTCCTGTGTTGTCTGACAGAGCAGCTGACGATGCCTTTTCTGTCTGTAGGAAATCAGGACGCTGGTCTGGACTCTGGGGATCCTGGTCAGCCTGCTGCAACACACACTATGAGGCCGACACACTCAGCAGGTGAGTGGAGCTGTTGTTTTCTGTGTCCAGCAGGTGGCGCTGCAGCCTCACAGGTCTGACCTCAGATCTGTCGGCGTGTAGAAAGCAGATGAACTGAAAGCTTTTCCATCACGGAGGATTTCAGCTTCAGACACTTTGTGTTTTTGTCTTAATTATCTACAAATCAGGGAAATTAGGTGTAAAACACGTATCTGACCGTTTGTGTTTCCTGTTGCGTGCAGCCAGGAGTTAACACCAACCTGAAGAATGAACCTGCTGCTTCTGTATAGATTTCTGAATTATTATTAATAATAATAATAATTAATTATAATTATATGAGTGACCTCTGGGACTCTGCAGAGTGAGGTTTGAACTGAGGATCAAATACTGCGATGCTCCCAGGATACTGCAGTATCATATAAAGTATCCTGCAGTATCAGCTGTGGAGCAAGAACTTTCCAGACCTCCTGATAAAAGCTAATGTCATGGAAAACGGAGGCAGCTGCAGATAAATGAGCTCGTTTAATTCTGTCTGACACGTTTAAAGGTTGATGCACAGATTCATTTTTGGGATTAACTCGTAATAAGTCGTCGTGACATTTAGAGTCGGACCTACGATTAAAGCTACAGGAGAAAAAGTGACTCACGCAGAAGTTCCCGTTCTGCTGAAAAAGGCGTTTGTTCCTCACAAACCGCCGTTCTTCAGTGTATTTATATCAAATCTAAACGTGTCATCATGTCTGACGTTCACCTGCAGCTTCTCTCAGACTGACGGCTTTCTGTTCTGCAGCTGTTCCTGGATCAGTTCGATCCTGCAGAAACCAGCGTGGGTCGCCTGGTCTGAGGTGGGCGGGGTCGCCGTCACCTCTGTGACCTTTGACCTCTGCAGTGTGAGACGCCTCCAGAAAATGGCAGCGGAGCCACGGCTTCCCTCGGCGTGGGGTCACAGGTGGACCTCAGCCAATCACAACGCTCACTGAACTTTATCACACCGGGAATTTCTGTTCACTTTTTCACCTTTTTTTTATTTGAATGTGTGCGAGACCAGCGGGCGCAGCGTCGTCTCTTCAGTATAAACTGTGGTGGGTAATCTGTGCACGTACGGAAGCTCATTAATGACAAAACTGCTGAGTGAGAGCGAAGGAAAACAAATCTGAACAAGTGGAGAAAGAAACAAAATGTGAGGGTTAAACTTTCTTCTGGGAACTGACCTGAAATCTGTTTTTCTCTTTAATGCTTTTGTGGGTCTGTTTCCTCTCGGCTTTCGAGTTTTCTGACCTGCAGGTTCAGGTTTGGTTTCAGGAAAGATGGTTAAAGGAAGCCAAAGTCGACTGTTGGCAGGAGTTGCGATGCGAATGCTGGATACTTTGTTGATCCATCCCTCAAAAAAAACCACGACGACGTCTGAACGTGTGACGGGAAACAAAACATAACGACGTGTTTTTGCTTTTCTCTGTTACCGTAAAACTCCGATTAATAGCCGAGCTTTTATTTGCTAAAGTCACTGAATTGACCCGGCCAATATTTAAAACTGAAACAGGATGCTATGAAACAGTTTATTTATAATTAACAGAATATTACTTTTATAAAAATGATCCAATAATATCGAAAACACGTCATTCATTTGATCCAGCTGCGACAGACGGCGTCTTATGCGCTTTTATTTTGAAGTCAACATCACGACAACAACAGGCTGCAGGAGGAGAGAAGTTAGCAGACAGAGAGCGACGGACTTCACGTGACAGGATTCACCACTTGGATTCATTTTTATAAAATGCTGTTCTGGTTCTTTTGATGGGTGGAGCCTCACAGACTGAACGGACACATTAACGAGGCTTCAAAGGTAACACGAGTCGGCACTTTTCATCCCTTGTACCATCAGGTTACACCTGTAAATCTGTAAGAATCAGACTTTGGGGCTCGTTGTTTCCGTTAAATGAATCGTGGAGAATCTAACCGATCTAACGATGTGCAGCGTGTCCACACTGACACATTGATCACACGTTTAAACATTAAATATGTGGATTAACAGTTTGAGCAGCTCAGAAGCAGCTAAAGCGGCGACCCCGCAGGGTTTAAAAGGTTTTAAACATCCAGAGAACTTCTATAAAAACCAGACCAGGCTTTTAATGGAGACCTGCGTTTATTTGTCCAAATGTGTTCCCACAGCAGGCGGCTGTTTGGGACTCGGCTATTAATTGAAGTTTTACGGTACTCAGATCCTCTACTGCAGTAAAAGTACTAATACCACTATGTAAAATACTCTGTTACAAGTAAAAGTCTGCGTATAATCAGGCCTCAAAGTATCAAAGCAGGCAGATGTTGTCTATCATACCTGCTCATCAACGTGCAGCAGGATGTTGAGCTGTTCAGTTTCAGACTGCAGCTGATGATTCTTTTCGTTCTGGATCAATCTGCTGATTTGGTTTGTAAAGATTCTGCCGTCACAGTTTCCCAAAGCCCAAAGATGTTTTACAGGAAAATAAATGAATCCATAAAACTTCATATTTTATAAAACCGTGTTCTTTCTGCGCTCGTCAGCTCGTCTGAGTCTCCGCCTGCTTCAGTTTTGTCATTAATTAACTCCCATAAATCCACCTGAACTGATGGTTTATGTTGAACTTTGTTTCTGACTGACTGAGACGTGGCTGTGTTTCCTGAACAGCGGCGCCCCCCGGTGTCGCAGCCCCCATCAGCTCACTCAGATTAAACATCTCAAAGAGAAAGAAGTCACTGTAGCAGCTGTGGAAATGTTAACGTACTCCTCCACGTTTCATCTCTGGAAACATCATAACAGCACTTCTCAGTTTGTTGTACGTCGTGTTTCTTCTGTCATAGATTAATGAAGTGAAATCTAACGATAAGACTTAAATTAAACTCTGCTTCACTTCTCATGCCGCTGTTTGATTATCCACTGTAACTTTTTAATTCAATCATCTCTCTTCAAATTAAAAGTCTTCGGACATATTGCTGATGTTTTCTGCAGAGAACTTTTTTAACGTTTTAAAATATTACAGAAATTCAGTTTATCAAAGCACATATTAAAAAAACAAGAACATTAGAGGACTTTATGTGTTTTATTGTTTTACTTTAATATTTGTTAATAAAATGTATGAAAAGTTATTAACAGCTTCTTGTGGATCTTTTCATGCAGCGTTTTTTTACTCTGTCAAACACACACGTGAATCCTTCTTCAATCCTTTTTGCTGGAATCAAACCAGACTCCAGCAGATTTTCCTGTAAATCTTTATCGGTTTTTCTGGCAGTCAAACGTCAGCAGTCCCGATGCTGATGTTTGTTTTTGGTGTTTAACCCTTTTACATTTTTGTGTTGTCTTTCATTTCGACTCGTCACCACTAGTTTTACACTTCTTTATGGAATTTATCAGGAAAAAACAAACTCATTTACATGAAATTCTACTTTTTCTTTTGAGTAAAATAAGCAGAAATGGTTGATTTATTCTGGATGGTCACACACATGCAGGTCAATGCAGTTTTATTCACCGAGAACAGAGCAAACAAAGAGAAAAACTATTTCACATCCACAGAACAATCAACATTATTTCCAAAACTTAAAACTTTAGTTTCAACATTTCAGTTTTTCACCCTTAAAAACCTGAAAGATGCTTTGTTTCTTTCTGAGTCATGGACTTTTAAAGTTACAGAGAAACTGAATGTATCACTGACTTTAATTTCAGAGACCAAGAAACTGCAGGAGAACTAATTTCTCCTCCGTGAGGTCAAACCTCTCAGGTCACAGCTGCAGGTGACTTCCTGTCCACAACGTGTTTCTAAACCTCAGCTGAAGTACTCAGATCTTGTACTTCAGTAAAAGTACTCATACCAAGGTTTAGAAATACTCGTATATACAGTGTTGTTGGTGTAGTTAGTCAAAAAATGTAATGGATTACACATTACTAGTTCCTTTTTTTAAAAGTAATGCCTTACTTTACTAGATTACTCACTGCTGAAAGTAACTAGTTACATTACTGTTGGATTACTGCGTAACATCACCTGTGATGCACAATAACAAAGAGGACACAGGATCTCTCTGTAAAACTACAAATATCAGCCCAACATTTGTCAAGAGAAGAACAAGGCAGCGTGCAGCACTACAGACTGCTTCTGAAGCATGCAGGCCTGCAGATTAATTATTATTATTATTATCATATGTGGCCATTTTGCTACAATTACGTTTCACACAACAGCTGCTGCTGTGTTTGAGAGCAGAATCCAGGAGGTTGCATGAAGCTGCGGGGGGGCCGCCAGCTGCAGTAGAGTCCGGATCATTCATCCAGCCAGAGGGAACCATCACCACCCGTTCACAGCGCTTAGTCTGCCGAGAAATACAGAGATTAATGTCAATAAAGCAGCTGTCAACCCACAATATCAGAAATGATGCTTTTAGGGGAGCTGATGTCTTCTTAAGTGGAGCTGAGCTCCTCCTGGCTCCTCTGTAGGAGTCTCTCACGTCGGTTGTCAGACAGCCTGTTCCTGCTCGGGGTCAGCAGACTGAGACTGAGAGCCTCGCCGCAGGCTGTTTCATTAAACAGCATGACGTTAAACCTCCACCTGTCGAAAGACGCAGCTCTGCCATTTCTGCGTCCTCATGAACTGGAGCTAAAGCCAATAGTGAGGTCAGAAAAGTTTTACGCAAACACGCCTGAAAAGGGACCTTTGATTTATTTTTCTTTCTTCCCGTTATAGTTGAAGAACCAGTTCGCAAGTAACCTGATGATTTTGTAATTAGTAACTGTTATGTGATCACTGAACGCGTGACATTACTGCGTTACAGACAAAAGTAATCTGATTACAGTTACCCCCAACACTGGTTAGATGTAACATTATAAATATTACTGAAGTAAAAGCACAAAAGGTTTTAGCACCAAAATCAACGTAAAGTACAGAAAGTAAAAGTACTCATGCAGAATAATATATTTTATATCAACAGATTATAATTATTGATCACATCATCGCAAAGCTGTCGAATGAAAATTAGAAAGTAACCCAATGGAAAGTTTCTCAAAATTAGATTTAAGTATTTGAGTAACATCTACTGTGGGAATTTCCCCGAGTTATGTGTTTATGTACCGCAGAAGTCTGCTGTTGTTCCTCAGTCACTCTGTGAACATATTAAACACGATATTAGCATTTATGTTACACACTGCATTATATAATCAAAACTTCATCATAACGTCCACACAGAGTTAACAAAGAAGAAGAAATCCATGTGACGATGTGCCGAGTGAAGTCTGTTAAAACAGCTTTGAGCTGCTGATAGAAATCTTTATATTTCCCTGCAGGACCCCAGAGTCTCTGCAGGGAGGCCTCAGGGTTCAGATGTTACTGGTTTATTTCTGGTGTCGGCGTGTGACAGAGTTTTGATCGTGATCGGAGATGTCTGCCATCGAAGACGACTGTCACCAACTCACGGCGAGTGTTGACGAGAGCCGAGAGGAGGGAGGACGCCTCGGGCGCCATGTTTATTTCAGTCCAGGAGGAATCTGCACGACACCACGACAGAACCCAGCCGGCTGGTTCGCCTCGTCTGCTTCTGTTTCTCTAGTTTTTATCACTTGAACACAGACAGAAGGCGTCGACAGCAAGAAAAGAGAAGACGGAACTTCATTTGTCCCTCCGGCAGATAAAGAAATAAACGCAAACAACAACAAAGATTTTAAAAAAAGGAAACGTGCAAATGTACAAATAATAGTGAATGTACAAGCAGAAGTAGTTTCACTAACTAACAAACCATTAACATGAAAGAGGATGAAAGGTGTGTTTCATGTGTTTGAAATGTGACCTTCAGTGAAACTCTGCCGTCACTCAGAGAGACGTCATCGCGCAGAGACACATACAGACGAGAGGATCTGTAGGAAATGTCAGATACATCCGAGTGATTATGTACCGTCCATACACAAAGCTATGAAGTACTGATGGTGTTCCTCTCACCTCTGATTTGCTCCCAGAAAAACAAACATTCTGTCCTGCCTCCGGCCACAGTCCAGGGTTCATTGTGCATTTCTTCTTCTTCACTTGATGATTTGGAGGAAGAAGAAGTTGAGGAACTGATTCTATTTGTGTCTCTGCGGCACACGTAGAAGGTGAATTTCTGCAGGGAAGCGTCGTCTAAAATGGCTGTTGTGCACTTGCGTGTTACAGCTTCTTCTTCTTTTTATTTTTAATGCTGAATTGGAACCGGGCGGATCATTATCGATTGTCACCTGGCAAAATATCTGCTCGCTTGTTGGCTCTCCTGACTTTTATTACAAATGTATAAAAGTGAACGAGTGCACCATCCGGGTACTCTCAGTGCACTGCATGTTGCTGTAAGTGTCAGTGTGAACGCGCTCATGCACTTAAAATAGCGAGTGTGAGTACGGAGAGTCGTGACGAGAGACACAGCATGAGACTGCTCCAGAAGACGTGAGGCCGGCCTGCAGTTTTCAGGTTTGGGGTTGTGAGTAAAGGATCAGAATGTTTTCCTGGAGAACTCGGCGTCTCGTCTCTTATTTAACATACTGTAACCAGACATTTGAATGTATCACTCGTGTTCTTGCTGCTGTTTCTCCTCCTCACAGGATCATTTTTCTTCTGAAGGTCACGGAAGCTGAAAGGTTACAGAGACAGAAGAGGACGAGGTCGCCCTTCGTCTTTGTCTTCTCTGAATAAACTGAATAAACAGATCTGTGTGATGTCAGCTTCAGCCTCGACGTCTCGACCACAGGAAATTTATCTTCACTCGTCGTTTGTTCGGAGAGACCTGAGCTGCAGATCTGTGGAGATCTTAAGAACAAAAGTCTGTTTGTCTCATGGTTTGTGTAATTTCTAGTTGAGCTTAGATGCTGCAAATAAAACAAGAACAAAAATTTTTTGCCATCTTCCCTTCGTCAATATAACTTTTTAATGCATTTTACTACTTTAATTTTTGTTTTCATTCACCTGATTTAGTTCAGTAAATCATCAGTTTCTTTACTGGAGTATTTTAATTAATTTTGCGTGACTTTATCCTTCTGCTCCACTACATTTCAGAGGTCGAGAGTTTTCTCGGTGGTCAGTGAAATGTTGCCGCTGCAGTTTGACATTTAGCTGTTAATGAGAGTTGAGATGAAAGCAACAGAGACTGAACTCTCTCCAAGCTGCAGGTCGCCTCCTGATGCAAATCAGACGAGGAAAAGGGCACAAACAGTTTCCCCCGCGTCATCATTAAACACCTTCCTGATCGGAGGTCAGGCGGGTGGCTCAGACCTGCTCAGTCCAGCTCAGGCGAATATTCAAATTAAACAAAACACTGAATCCTCAGAGCTTTGACCTTTGACCTCTAACCTCAACTGTTGGTCAGCAGGCGAAGAGAGAAGGCTTTCTGGTCCTCAGGAGGCTTCTACAGCACACAAACAGTTATTACACTGACTACCCAGGCAGTATTTTATACCTATATATACTGTCAACATGACGCTTTAATTTAATGTCCTGCTTCAGATCTGTTTTCAGCTCAATTTGTGATATCAATATGATTCTTGTGTCCCATCAACTAATGCAGCGGCTCTCAACCAGGTCGACGTGGAAAGACTGAATTAGCTAAGCTGGTGAAGAAAATACAAGATTATAACCAAATTCAATTAAAGATATATATAAAATAATTACAAGGACATGAAGAACTAATAAAAAGTGACACAAAACACAACCACAAAGAGACGCAAAAGTCTTCCAAGAGAAAAAAAGACCATAGAGAGAGACAGAACTATTACAAAGAGACGCAAAAGGACTACAAAAAGACATGAAAAAGCACAAAGATACCAAACGATCGCAAAAAGATACAAAATGACAACAGAAACATACAAATCGGCTTCAAAAAGATACAAAACAATCACAAAAAGATACAAAATGACTACAAAAAGATACAAAATGACTACAGAAACATACCAATCAATCACAAACCGATACTAAACGAGCACAAAAAGATACAAAACGAACAGAAAGATACAAAGTTACTGCACAAAGATACAAAACAAGCACAAAAAGATACAAAGTGACTACACAAAGATACAAAGTGACTACACAAAGATA